CAGGCTGTTCTCGAACTCCTGACCTCAGGTGATCCGCCTGCCTCAGCCTCCCAAAGTGCCCGCATTACAGGTGTGAGCCACTGCGCCCGGCCAGATGATTGTTAGTTAGGTCTCCCCTCTTCTGCTATGGGGCATGGAAATATCACCTCCCTTTGCAGGCCCAGGTACCCAGGCTACAGAGATTAGGTTACTAGTCCAAGGCCATGGGGCAAGTCTTTATTGGAATTCAGATGGGCTGGGCCAGTCTCTGTCCTGGCCACAAGAGGTGAGCTTCATCTCAGAACTTGCTCTACCGTGGCATTTCCTGATTGGCTATGTGTGTGTGCGCTGACTAGCACAGGCTCATTTATTCATTCATCAAACACTTACTGAACGCACAGGCTCATTTATTCGTTCATCAAACACTTACTGAACGCCTGCTATGTGCTAGTGGCTAGAGACTCAGGGAGGAATCTGACCCATTCCTTTCAGTTAAGAAACTCACAGTGTGTGGGAAGACTGAATTATAAGTAGATAGGTGCTGTGATAAAACACCCCACAAGGCAGAAACGGAGGATGGAGCAGGAACTTATGCTAACCCTCTAAAGAGCAAGAGGGAAGGGTGTTTTAGATGAAGACACTTTGACAGCAGGCCCAGAGTGTGGATGGGTGGCTAGGGGCATAGCCCTCTCACTGACTCATCTGACAGTCTGGGCCAGGTGTTGAGGGGCTTGCCACACCCTGGCAAGGGATTTGATTCTCTTCCCATAGGTTTAGCAAGGTTGCCTGCCCGAGGGGTTCTAGAAGTTCAAACGGAAACTTTATACGACTGTTTGATGTTTTAAGTCTCTTCCCTCAACACTTGCAGGAGTGAACACTTTGAAAAGCAACCTGTTGAAGCCTGAGATTCTTCACTTGATGTGGGAAGTGTGCAAAGCCCAAAAATGAGATTGAGCACCCAAGGAATTAGTCTCCCCTCCTCCCCGTGCTCACAGCCAGACCTTATTGGAGAGGACACAGCCGGGTATCACTGGAGGGCAAATAAGTTTCTATGGTGCCACACCCATGGAGCCTGCAGGAAATCTGACCTCTGGGGTTCTGGGGAATGCTGTTCATGGGGAAGCAGTGTCTTGGTGGAGTTGCTCCACCACGCAAGCTTGGAGTAGAAGGACAGTGCCAGGAGGAACTGCTGGCTGTGGAATGATGTAGAAACCAGGTCCTGAAGGAGCCTGTGCACTGCAACAGCCTGGTGGCACAGAAGCTGTAGGTGCTGGGACAGCTCCCTGTAAACTCAGACCAACTTCGTGCTGACACCTTTCCATCACAAGTGAGCACTTTTGTTCCAAGGAGCCCTCTCAGCATGGGAGGCAGGTAGCCTGGAAGTAGGGGTAAGGGATGCAGGAGCAGTCTTTGCTGGAGACTTGGAAAAATAATCCAGCTCCCTGAGCTTCAGGTTGTCAATTCTGCGGGGCATTTGGCATCTTCCTACAAGGTCCCAGGGGAATCGGCCCCCCCGCATATAGCACCACTCTCATTAACACACCCGATACTGGCCTTTCCTTCTTCCCCGTCCCACTCTTCCAGCTCCTTCTCTCCTGCTTCTAGGGGTCACCCTAAATACACCACCTGCAGGCAAGTCTTATCACAGGCTCCCCCTTCAGGGCACCCATATTAAGGCAGGCTGTTTCCCAGTGACTGAGCAAAAGCTCAGACCCATCTTTCTTCACAAGCAGAATAGCTTGTCCATTTCAGTCAAAGAAACCATGTGCTATTTTTTGCTTTGTTCCTTCCTCCTGTTTCCCCGTCTTGTGTGTGTGGTCACACCTTCCAGAAATGCCCTCCACACTGTTATCCATGGGCATCACTACTACTATTTTTTTTGAGATGGAATCTCACTCTGTCGCCCCAGGCTGGAGTGCAATGACATGATCTTGCTCACTGCAACCTCCACCTCCCGGGTTCAAGCGATTCTCCTGTCTCAGCCTCATGAGTAGCTGGGATTAAAGGCATGCACCACCACATCCAGCTATTTTTTTTTTTTTTTTAATGTATTTTTAGTAGAGACGAGGTTTCACCATGTTGGTCAGGCTGATCTCAAACTCCTGACCTCAAGTGATCCACCCGTCTCAGCTTTCCAAAGTGCTGGGGTTACAGGTGTGAGCCCCCACACCCGGCCTTGCATTACATCTTCCAAGTGCATGCCATGAGACCAGTTGCATGCTGCCGCCTCCCTCCTGTCACCCTTCCTCTATTCTATGTCACCACTCAGATGTCATTAACACTGTAGCACTTATGTGAATATTTCTGTACCACACATTTCATGTACAGAAAATCTGGAGGAGAAAAGACGTGATTTTTTTCTACTCATCCTCCTGGAAATTTCTCTTTGGCAAGTTGCTGCTGCCGTTGGTGCCCCTCCTAACCCCCAAATCTTTCTACAGGCTCAAAACCACAATGAAGAGAGCCAGCGTTACTTAAATAAAAAGAAAGAAACAGATGCTTTTCAGAAGTGTTTCCTGGAAATGTTTGCTTTAGGCTGATGTTGGAGGGGCTTGAGCATTGGTCTTGACAACAGGAGCCTCGAAAGCGGTGTCTCTGGTAGCTAATCTCTTCCGCCTCTGTCTTTGCCTCCAATGGCTCCCCTTATTTTTGTCATCAGCAAAATATCTCTACGGGAAGGGAAATGCTTTTTTGACAGTTAACAAATATTTCCTCAGTGCACACTCACATCCTTGGAAGGGCCCATGTGACAAGTGGATTAGTGACACCCTCCTTCAGGAGTCCCTCACCCTCAGGCTTCCATCCTGACAGCTCTCAGCTTCCCCTTCCTCCCTTGGTCCATGCCCACGGCTTCCTCCACCCTAAGTGAGGGCACTGCACTCTCCCTTCCTGGCTCCCCATCCAGCTCTAACTCTCCCCTCACCCTCCACATGGTTGCTGCCCAGACACATCCCTCCACTCCCCAGCTGCCTGCTGGGGTATTTCCACTGAAAAGTTCCACCATTCCTTCATGCTCCACGGAACCTTCAGCGGCTCTCCTGAAAAGCAGCCTCTTTCCCTGTTGTTCCTATTTCTGATGCTCCAAGGCACCTAGCCTGGAAACCATAGCTTTGTCTCTGCCATTTCCACTCCCTCATTGCACACATCTGGTCACCAAGACATCTAGTGTTCCAGGAAAGTGCCCTTCCCCTTCCCCCTTCCCTTCCTTCCCCCTTCCTCTCCTTCCCCCTTCCCTTCCTTCCCCCTTCCCTTCCTTCCCCCTTTCCTTCCTTCCCCTTCCCTTCCTTCCCCCTTCCCCTTCCCTTTCCCCTTCCCTTCCCCCTTCCCCTTCCCTTTCCCCTTCCCTTCCCCCTTTCCCCTTCCCTTCCCCCTTCTCTTCCCTCTTCGCTCTTCCCTCTTCCTTTCCCTTCCCTTTTTCTTTCTTCTTTTTTTGAGATAAAGTCTCATTCTGTTACTCGGGCTGGAGTCCAGTGGGGCAGTCACAGCTCGCTGCAGCCTCAACCTCCCAGGCTCAATTGATCTCCCACCTCAGCCTCCTGAGTAGCTGGGACTACAGGCGCACACCACCATGCCTAGCTAATTTTTGTTATTATTATTTTTTTTTGTAGAGACAGGGTTTCCCCATGTTGCTCAGGCTGATTTTAAATTCCTGTGCTCGAGCAATCCACTGCCTTGATCCCCCTTTCTAGCATGTGCACACTGCCCCAGGCAGCCTCTGCGCAGGAAAGCCGGTCCACCCACTGGATGCTGTTCACACGCCTACCACCTTGGCTGTTCTCTCCAACTCACTGTATCTAGACCCGCTAGCTCTAGAATAGCACAATCCCGCTTCCTCCAAGGACTTCCTTGGCCATGCGGCCCGCTTGGGATAAGCAGCATTTTTTTTTTTCTTTTCTGGCAATAAATCAATAAATCATTATTAGGTTGGAGCAAAAGTAACTGCGGTTTTCCCCATTGAAACTGCAATTACTTTTGCACCAACTTCATACTTTTTGAAGTCCTTTTATATTGTTTTGAATTATTAAATGTTCAAGGGTCTATTTCATTCAATATGTCAGCAAATACGTGTTAAGTACAGGTTGGGCCGGACGAAGTGGCTCATGCCGGTAATCCCAGCACTTTGGGAGGCCAAGGCAGTGTGGGGGGGGGCGGGGGTCACATGAGAGCAGGAGTTAGAGACCAGACTGACCAACGTGGTGAAACCCCGTCTCTACTAAGAACACAAAAATCAGCCGGGCGTGGTGGTGCACGCCTGCAAACCTAGCTAGTCGGGAGGCTGCGGCATGAGAATTGCTTGAACCCTGGCGGCGGAGGCTGCAGTGAGCAGTGATCGCGCCATTGCACTCCAGCCTGTGCAAGAGGGAGACTCCGTCTCAAAAAAAAAAAAAAAAAAAAAAAAGTACAGGTTGTTTTCTCAGGGAATCCCTGTAGCCCGGTGGAGTGTCCAGCTCTTCATTTTACAGATGAGGAGACCGGGCTTTAGCACTGGTAACACTGTCCCCAGGTTCTCACAGCTAGAGAGGCGTGCTGCGGCTTCCCATGGGGTGGGTCTACAAGGACCTAAAAACTGGCTTAGAATCCCAGCCCTGCTACCGCCGGCTGTGTGGCCCTGTGGGACGCCGCACCTTCCTCCCACCCGGCAAGCGGGATTAGAATCTCAGACCTCCCACCAGCGTGGACACAGCAGGTGCCCGATAAATACGCGTGGGTTTGCTGTGGTGGAAGAGCGCCACCCCTCAGGTTTCTGACGGTGAGGGGAGAAAGGCTGAGCAGACGCGAAAGGGGTAAACTGAGCCCGGCGCAGTGGGGCGTGCGAAATAGCGAGGCTTCCTGGAGTCCGGGAATTTGGAGAGGCCAAGGCTGCGAGAAGGAAAGTGCCCGGTGCCGGCGTGGGGGAGGTGGAGGGACCAGCGGCTCCGGGGAGGGTGAGGTGTGAGCGCGACCCAGGGAGGGCGCGGGGTGCGGGTGGTGCCCGGGGAGCTTCGTCCCGACCCGCCGCGCGCGCATCGGAAAGAGGGTCGGGCCCCTCCTCCCGGGAGGGCGGGCGGCGCTGCGGGGCGGGGCGCGGGCTCACTCGGCCTCCTGGCGGCGCCGCGGCCCCTGCACTCGGGCCGGGCTCTGCTGGCTGCGGCGGGAGCTGGACGCGGGAGGCGGCGGCGGCGGCGGTGGCGGTGAGTGGGCTCCGGGCGGCAGCGGGGCGGGTGTGCGCCGGGACCCGGGCTCCGAGGCCGAGGGGCCGCCCAGGGCAGCGGGACCTCCAGGGCTTCGGGCTCCGCCGGGTGCGCCGCGCTCAGCCTCCGTGTCCGGCGCCGCGCGGGTCCTCGGGCGGGAAGGTGCGACCCGGGAAGGTGCGCCGAGGGCAGGCGCAGAGCAACAGCAGGCGATCGATCCCCGGGGAGCCCGCCTCGGAGCGGGGTTGGGGGGGAGCAGGGTCTGCGGGACCTCCCTGTGGTGAAGAGGGGCTCCCTGCCTCTCACCCCTGCCTGCGCCCTCCGGCTCCAGTGACAGCTGGGAGAGACCCACGCGGAGCAGTCCCCGAACTATCCTCCCGTTCCTAAGCCACCGGCGGGCCCCGCCAGACCATCCCGTGGAAGGAAAGGCGTGTGGCCTGTCTCCCCGTCCTCCAGGGGAGGCGGATCGTCCCCGAAAGCCCCCGCCTCACTTGGAGCGCACGTTCCAGCTCTCCCGGGATTTTCCAGGTTGCATCACTGTTTAGCCTCTGGACAGGTACTCGGCTGTCACGACGGAGTTAGTTACACAGGATTTTTGAAACTTGGTATATTTGCTTTGTGCGTTTCCCTTCGCCCGAAGGCAGCTGCTTTCCTAACCCTGCTTATGCCGCTCAAAACGTTGCTCAGAGCTCACCGGGAATGCTTTTGCGGGCATTGGTTCTCAAACTTGGCCGCACGTCTGGAGAGGTTTAAAAAATGCTGCTGCCTGCGTCCCACTCCCAGAGATGTGGATTCGGCTGACCTGGGTCGCAGCCTGCAGAATATAATTTTTAAAACGCACCGGGTGATTCTCATGGACAGGCAGGTTTGAAAACCTCACCTTTGGGGATTGCTTCCACCAGCCACTCTTCGGAAGGCCTGGTCTGGAAGTCATCTCAGGCCCTCTTGACTCTTCCCTGATCTGCGTCCCCACCTGAAGAACCTGTTGCTTGGTGCTTTCCAACTTTAGACAGCAGATGGTGCCTTCGCTGAAGTTCCCTTTGTTTCTACCTCTCTGTTTACAGTCAATACTTCCGGGCACTTTCTGCCAAGGAGGTGGCAGTGTAGGCATTAGAACCAAGGAGTCCTTGCCAGGGGTCAAGGTTATAATACAGGGTTGTCCTATCCAGGGAAAACCAAGTGACAATTTGACTTGTCATAATCGGAAATAATTTCAGATTAAAAGGAGAAAATATACTTTAGGATTTGGCCAGCTCTTGGAGACCGCCCCTGAGACTCACTCCCCCACGTAGATAATAGAGTTGCATAAATGTGGGGAATTTTTCAAGAAGCCAAAGCTAGCAACATCCTTAAGGTTTTGTGCTTGATTATTTGTGTGAATATAGGTGTGTTTTTGTAGATCAAACTTATTCTGGAACTGTGATGAAGCCCTGCAGACGAACAGTGTATAGCATGACACCTCAGACACCTGTCACATAATTTAAAAAACGATAGAGAAGCAAGAGAAAGGAGAATGTAGCCATGCTTACACTGGCTGAATTAGATCATTTATTTTATTAAGCATATGTTTTCACTGCCCTTGGTAGCACTGTGACAGTCTCACTGCCCTTGGTAGCACTGTGACAGTCTCACTGCCCTTGGTAGCACTGTGACAGTCTCACTGCCCTTGGTAGCACTGTGACAGTCTCCAGGGATCTGGTTAATTTACTTTTGTCCCCAAGTATGATGTTTGTCTTAGATTTCCACCCTGATGTTGCTACCTGGCCACAAATCAGTGGTTTTAAGTTTTTCTTAGGGGGTGGCCTCCTCTCTTTCTCTCTCTCTCTCTCTCTCTCTCTCTCTCTCTCTCTCTCTCTCCCTCTCTCTCCCTCTCCTCTCTCATTTTGAGATGGAGTTTCACTCTTGTCACCCAGGCTGGAGTGCAATGGCGAGATCTTGGCTCACAGCAATCTCCACCTCCCTGGTTCAAGTGATTCTCCTGCCTCAGCCTCCCAAATAGCTGGGATTACAGTCGCCTGTTACCAGGCCCAGCTACTTTTCGTATTTTTAGTAGACACAGGGTTTCACCATATTGGCCAGGCTGGTCTCAAACTCCTGATCTCAGGTGATCCACCCACCTCAGCCTCTCAAAGCGCTGGGATTACAGGAGTGAGCCACTGTGCCTGGCCCATATTGTATTTTTATTAGCAGTGGGATGACACTCTTTCAAGAATGCCTTGCAGAGGTGAAAGAACATTTCTGTTCATATCTAGCTCCTAATGTAAGTCCAAAGAACATTCATTTTTGAAAAATTAAAAAATGAGATCATTCTGCCCACTTGGTTTTCCCTCTCTTCCCCACCTTCCACTACCATGGCCTGCTGCTTCTGCCGTATTCTCTTGCTGGAGGTGTGCACACTGTGGGAGCTGTCTTCACTGTCTTGGCTCTGGCTAGATAGGGAGGTTTCATAGAGCACATGGTCTCACAGGGTGTCCGCTGGCCGGAATCATCACCCTTTCGGGAGCAAGACCATATGGAAACTATTTTCGTTCTGTTCTGTGTATATGTGTGTGCGTGTGAGACCATGCCAACAACATGAAGCCATATTATTATTTTGAGGGTCTCACTCTGTTGCCCAGGCTGGAGTGCAGTGGCACGATCTTCGCTCACTGCAGCCTCCGCCTCCCAGGTTCAAGCAATTCTCCTGTCTCAGCCTCCCAAGTAGCTGGGGCTACAGGCGCTCACCACCATGCCTGGCTCATTTTTTTGCATTTTTAGTAGAGACGGGGTTTCACCATGTTGGCCAGGCTAGTCTTGAACTCCTAACCTTGTGATCTGCCTGCCTTGGCCTCCCAAAGTGCTGGGATTACAGGCCGCTGCACCAGGCTATGAAGCCATATTATTAAATGGTTTGTTAACTTGCAAATCTCGTCTCAATTGGGAAAAAAAAATTGCTTATTTGAGGATGCTGTTGAACTCACGGTGTCTGAAAAGTCACACCTAAACAGCAGTAGTTACACTGTGAATATAATAACAGGCTCTAACTCCCCTAAAAAAAAGTGTATGTAAATGTGGGACTAAGCACATTTATTGCAGTTTCTCACTTTGGAGTCACAGCTCTAATATCCTAAAGTGATTAGAAGAAAATAAGTGAAGAAAAATATGAAGAAAGAGTTAGTGAGGGACTTTTCCATTTAGGGAAAGGGGATCCAGCAGCCAGAAGAGACCTTTGGTTTGTGTTAAGAACTGACCGTCCTGCTGGCTTCCTTTTCTTTTCCCTGTTTAACTTGTTTGTGCTGGTGGGTGAGGGAGAGTTAAAGAAATTTAATGGCCTCACTGTCTTTCCTCCTGAAACCCATTTGTCTAAGAGATGCCATTGACCTTTAAAAAATGTCCAATCGATTCGATGGTTTTCCTTTCTTTTCCTCTTCTGATCTCGGTGCTGAAGGGCAGTGGCGTGGCTGAGAGTTGGCATCAGAGCAGAAAAAGTTCAAGGGAAACTGAAAGTTGGATAATTTTCTCTGAATGACCAAGTGCTTACTTTTTTCAGGCCTGTGACATTGCTGTTATCAAGAAACAAGTTATCAAAACCCCGAGAATGGAAAAGAAAAGAAAAGGGAACAGGGTGGGGATGGAAATAGCACCAGGATTCACAGCCGTTTACCGAGGTGGCAAGCTTGCTGTTTTCAGCCCAGTGTCCCAGTTCAACCCCCTTTACTGCTCTTACTGCACCTTCCTCCATGCCTCAAGCCAGCATCCTTGGGGACATAGTGCTTCATCTTAAATTCACGGTAAGGTGTTTTTTTTTTTTTTTTGAGACGGAGTTTCGCTCTTGTTACCCAGGCTGGAGTGCAATGGCACGATCTCGGCTCACCGCAACCTCCGCCTCCTGGGTTCAGGCAATTCTCCCGCCTCAGCCTCCCGAGTAGCTGGGACTACAGGCATGCGCCACCGTGCCCAGCTAATTTTTTGTATTTTTAGTAGAGACGGGGTTTCACCATGTTGACCAGATGGTCTCGATCTCTTGACCTTGTGATCCACCCGCCTCGGCCTCCCAGAGTGCTGGGATTATAGGCTTGAGCCACCGTGCCCGGCCTTGTTTTTGTTTTTATTGAGATGGAGTCTCACTCTGTCACCCAGGCTGGAGTGCAGTGCTGTGATCTTGGCTCACTGCAACCTCTGCCTCCCGGGTTCAAGCAATCTTCCTTGCCTAAGCCTCCCAAGTAGCTGGGATTACAGGCACCCAGCACCACACTCGGTTTATTTTTGTATTTTTAGTAGAGATGGGGTTCACTATGTTAGCCAGGCTTGTCTTGAACTCCTGACCTCAGGCCTTGGCCTCCCAAAGTTCTGGGATTATGGGTGTGAACCACCATGCCCGGCCAGACAAAATCTTTTGAAGCCCCTATTTACTAGCAAAAGCTATGTGTTATGCAGAGTTGATGGCAAACAGAATAAGGTCCCCGCCTTAAGGAGCCTGGAGTCAGGTAGGGACGTAAACCATGGGTAGCAGTAAGTTAGGGACTTTCCTAATCAAGAGGGACACAGTGGCCTGTGGGGTACTGTGGGGCACCTGGCTAGGTTCACCTGGGTAGATGCCTCCTCATTCATTGGTACAGCAGGCATAAGACATGCTTTACTTGGGTTTACGTTCAAGCTTATTCTATTAGGTCCCTCCACCAAAGGACTGATTTTCGATATTTCTGACTCCAGGAGTGGGAAGGGTGCAGGTATCCATCATGCAGAGGGGAGGTGGGAGGTGGGAGGTGGAGGCAGAGACCAGATTCTGGCAGGTGCCTTTCCTTCTGGAGTTTCCCGAACAAGGGTACTTCGGGGGGCTGGGAAGCTCACGGGGCATTTGGCTGGATCCGTTTTTTGGCACGTTAGCAAGTGGTAACGTAAGCTTGGTAGTGGCTGCCTCCGCAACAGGGCTGGAAGGAGAATGCGGAGTGCAGTGTGAAAGCAGCAGCTGCAGTCCTTTTTCGAGCAAGTGGTTTGGTTTGTGTCTACGGCTCCAGCCA